ATATCGATATAAGTAATTATGATGTAATATTCTTATTAATACTGTAAACCGATTTTGTATATTATTGGTTGACATGCGGATTGTGTAGGAATTCCCCCCGGTTAAAATTAGCAAGTTAAAAATTACACGATCGATTTTCATGACCAATAGGATGTTAATTCTATATGTGAAATGACCAATGACTCAAATGACCGTGGTTATTTCCAAATGACCGTGGTTATTTCCAAATGACCGTGGTTATTTCCAAATGACCGCAGTCATTTGGTCATGAGTCATTTCCAAATGACCGCAGTCATTTGGTTATGAGTCATTTCCAAATTACCCAAAATTTGAATATCCTCAAATGACCGGTCATTTTGAGGTCATTCAGGGTTATTTGAAAAATCGGCAAATGACCAGGTCATTTACCATCACTGCTATATAATAGAGAAGAGGTAGAAATTTCTAATATGCTTACACAGCTTAAAGAAGACTATGGCATAGATCTAGAGACAGAAACTAAAATACGAAGTAGTGAAAATTTAAAAAACTGGGCAAAAATTCTGCACAAAGAGTGGCAACAAAAAATAAAAAAAGCAGAAGCTGAGATAAGAAGAAGTATAGAAGATAGATACAGCTTCATAGTATCCAACTAGCGAAAGATACTGAATAGCCTTTTAAGTTGCTCTCATAGATGAATTAAAATAGATAGAATAGTCAAAGAGGTAAAGGGTGAAGCAAAACTAGTATATGAACCAGAGAGTTACTTAAAGAAACTCACAAATATTTTAAAAAGCAGTTCTGCAAAAGAAATACAGTACAGGTTGAAGAAATGTGGCTAGATAAAGAAATCAGTATGCCCCAAGAGAAGATATCAAGGAGACCTGGTACAAAGATACTATGAACACAATTAGCCTAACCAAATAGGAACAAGCTCTAGAACAAATCAAGGCCAAGTCAGCCCCAAGTACAACAAGTATCACATATCCACTAATTAGAAATGTAGACTTAGACATGAAACAGATTTTTATTAGATTTGTCTTTAGATGTATTGGAGAAGGCAAAATGTCAAAAAAGTAGAAGCTTGGTATGTTGTATCCAATACCTAAAACAGAAGACTAGTGCTTTAACCTAAACAATGTACGGCCAATATTATTCTTAGAATCTTTCAGAAAAATGTTGTAATGAACAGGCTAGCAAAGATTATAAAGGAAAAAAAAGTGCTTAAAGGAAGAAACTTCACAGATCTTCCTAAAGAAGATACAGTGGCACCAGTTCACCTAATTAACTGTCTCGTAGAAGAAGCAAAAAAAAAAAAAAAAAGCTTTGGCTTATATTCCAGAACATGAAAAAAGCATTTGACTTCATAGGGCTGAAGATATTAAAACTGGCACTACAAAGAATTAAAATTCCAGATACACTAACACGATTCATCATCAACCTATATAACAACCATAAAATAGAAGTACTGACAAGTATAGATACAACAGAGAGATTCATAGCAGAGGATGGTATAAACCAAGGAGAGATAATTTCACCCCTGGTTTGGAGGATCTTTTATAACCCTCTGCTAGTAGAAATACAAAGTTGTAGTAAGCGAAGATACAATCTAGAAGTTCAGTAGGCCAAAGATCTTAGTAGAAATAGCACCTGCCTCTAATAGCTAAATATTCTAGTCATAGCCTACGCAGATGACACCACATTCATCGCATCATGCAAAGAAAAGTTGAAGGAAATCATCAATATTGCACAAGAATTCTACAAGATAAATGACATAGAAATTAATAGTAAAAAATCAGAGCTGTTGATAATAGGTGGCAAAAAGACAAACGAACCAAGGTGTATAGAAATAGGGTCTATAAATAAAAAAAATAGTTGAAAAGAAAGCAAATGAAGCAACAAGATTCCTGGGCATATGGCTGTTTAGAAAGACAATTACTCACACATAGTGATGGAGATTCTACCAAATTTTTATAATTTTACCAGTAGCTACTGATAGGTGGTAGCTACTGGTAGCTACTACTACCGGTAAATCTACTAATAATAAATTTTGATTGGTCAGCTTGACAAGAAAATTTATGCCTATCTTGCTTAATAAATTTAAGACAAAATTTTAATTAGCTGAAATCAAATAAATTAGAGTGGTGAAACAGTGACGTTGCAAAATTATTATATTTCTTAATAAATATACAAATAACATCTCTTTGTATTCAACAGCATTGTTTACAACTAATGGTTTTATAAAAAATGGAGAGGTAGAGTATTGTTGAAATAACATATTATAATTAGTAAAGTCAGTAAACAGAGCAACAGGTTGATGCTTCGCCAGAATATTTTTGATAATTCACAGCATTTGCTTCTTGTTTAACGGTTGAAATTGTTTTTTTATTTTTTGCTCTTTTATTTTTTATTTTTTTGTGTATACAGTATATCAAAGTTATCCTCAAAATAATGTATTGGATTTAAGCTGAAATATTGAATCTAACTAATACAATAAGTTCTGGAATTTCCTTTAATTTTTCATTAGGTGCTAATTGACCCAGAGGCAGGAACTTATTGTATCAGTTAAATTCAATATTCTGAATTAAATCCAATACATTATTTTGAGGATATCTTTTGAATTACACACTTATTTATTTTTGATGAATAATAAAAGAACTGCTCAAATATTGATTGCAATGTTTATTTAATTGATTATATTAAATGAGCACTATTATGAACACTAATTAATCATATTGAAGTTGATGCTTGAGAAAATTTCAATTATATTATAAATTACATATTCGAATTCTCAATAAAAATTTTATGTAATTATAATTTGCTTAAATGCCATTGTGATCACTTGCTATTCACATCAGAATGACATTTGAAAACACCCTTGGATGGTTAAATGAGTTCATCATTCTATGAAAAAAAAATGGTCTCAACTATTTTTTTTATAATAGAGTTGTATTTATTGGCTATGAATCCTCAGCAAAATTGCTATAAGAATAGTTTTAATTAATTATAGTGCTTATGCACAATCTCATTTTACTAGCTAATTATATTAAGGAAGATGCTTGAAAGCACCCTTAGTCTGGTTAGTTACCTTTTGATAAATAAGTCTAAATACGCAGACTATTTGTTTTCTTTATAGAGTTACTCTAGTTAGCTGGAATTCAAAATTTGCATTTTGTAAAATATCTTGTTTTTTCAATTTTTACAGTAATTACTCAATTAGCTACAGCGATTTGAATAATATTTTAATCATTAGCTAATTATTACTAGCTAATTATACTGAGAAGCTACTTTAAAACACCTATATAGAAACTTTGAATCTATTAATGTGCAGTAACTGCATAGTAACTATGTAGCTACGATTAAATTTAATAGTAATTATGTAATTACTATGTCGTTACTATGCAGTTACTGTATATTAAAATATTAAAGTTTCTGTAAAGATGCTTATTGTTAATCCAAAAAATAATTATTTATAAGTAATTCAAGTTTGTAAATTTTAATCAATTTTATTTATATTATTTAAAATTTTACTATAATATATATAAAGCAATTATTTTTAAAATCAAAATATAGCTTTAATAGCCATATTAATATTTATTCTATTTACTATTATAAAAAACTTGATTGGTAAGTTTATCAAAACTTTCCTCAAAATTATCTGGGTTTTCACTACCAGATAAATAATTAGTTTCTTCATCATTAACTTCTTGTTCAACATCTGATAACTATACCAGTTCAGCTTCGACATCATCCTTTTTTTTATTATTATTTTTATAAATAACCTGGAGATTCCAATAAATATATACTAACTTTTCAAGGTGTTTATTTGTTAGATGATTTTGCTTTTTAGTATGTATATGAGCATATGCAGACTAGTTGCGTTTAGAACTTGCAATAGATGTTGGCATAGTAAAAACTCGAGTACAAAATGGTTGAAGAAATTCAAATCCATATGCTATATAATAGTTGTTAATTATTTTATTTTAATAAAAGTAATCTATATTTAATACTTTGGTCTTACCATTCTACTATCATGCGGATGTAGTTCTTTTGCTGCTTCTTGTAAGATAATATTGGTATTAAGAAGAGTTACTAATTCTCCATACTCTCTATATAATCCAGCATGTATTTCTTTTTCAGAGATAGAAACAAAGTTATTAATATATGGCGTAACTTCTTGAAATAGCTGGGTTAATGTATAAGCTATAGGACGAAAATGATTATATAGATAAAAATGGCCATCAAGAAGATATGCTAATGTTAGGGGTGGAAACAGCGAGTCTGTCGCTAGAAGACCAGAATTCTCACGTTATGTCGTCTTTTAGGCTTTAACTGAGGCGTGGTTACGATTTGGC